GGTTAGCCTGGTGATGGGTATTGAAAAGGGCACGTACTGAATGGAGCACTGGTGTTACATGCAAATAATGAATCATGGAACACTACATCAAAAACTAATGATGTAATGTATGGTGATTAACATAACATAATAAAATAAAATTAAAAAAAGGAAAAAACTAACAGGGTTATCATTATTGTTAACATAGGGTTATCGTTATTGTTAACATAGGGTTATTGTTATTGTTAACAAAAGGTCTCATCTCTTCTCCAAGAATGCATAGCCCAGCCTGAGAGACAAGCAGAAAGTAAATGAATGTCAAGGAAAAGGGCCAACTGCATGGTATTGATGTTCTATTTTGAATTCAGAGGAAGTGGTCTGGGGTGACCTAGGAGGGCTACCTGGAGGAGGAAGCACTCAAGCTGGGCCAAGAAGGGGGGAAAGGATTTAGTGAGTTGCGGGGGACACTGAAGAGCTTTTCAAATGGAGACACTGGCCTGAGTAGAGGCTATAAGGTAGAGTGGTTGAAAGCTGATTTCAGGACATCCGACAGAGGCAGGCACCCTGGGGGTCAGGGAGGACTAGGGCAATCTGCCTTAACCATCCCTTCCCGGCCCCTGCAGCTGGCCTACGTCGGCACCATCAGTATTGGAACACCCCCGCAGGAGTTCAAGGTCATCTTTGACACGGGCTCGTCTGACTTGTGGGTGCCCTCCATCTACTGCTCCAGCCCTGCGTGCGGTGAGTGCCTGCACCCGTCTCGTGCCCCGCCCCCCCCCCCCCCCCCCGCCCCATCCTCTGTCCTTGGCAGGCTGACAGATGCTCATCTCCTGTGTCTGCAGCTAATCACAATATCTTCAACCCTCTGCTGTCTTCCACCTTCCGGATCTCGGGCCAGCCCATCCACCTCCAGTACGGCTCCGGGAGGATGTCAGGATTTCTGGCCTATGACACCGTTCAGGTAACATGGAAACCAGAGGCTGAGGAAGGCTGACCCAGGGAGCAATGACGGCTTATAGGATCAAATGTAGGGTCAGCTGGGAGCACCTGTCTTTCCCCAAGTCCCCCAGCAGCTGGCTGCCTGCCCTGTGGGGCTGGCTCCCTAGGGAGACAGTACCCCTCGCTGACACACGGAATCCTAGAATAGCTAACCTAGAGGGTGGATCACTGTGCTGGCGGGGCTTGGGGGCATGGATTTGCAGCTCCTTTCCCCTTGGTTAGCTCAAGGCTGAATTTGGGGGGAACAGGGAGAGGTGTGGATAAACCACCCACTTTTATTTTTTCAAGCATGGTGCTGGGTGCTTTCATTGTAAGAACTTGTTTGATCCTGCAGCAGCCCCATGTGCCAGGCACTGTTACTGCCATCACGCAGATGGGTGAATCAAGGGAGAGCAAGTGCCTTTCCCAGGGTTATGCACCTGCTTAGTGGCAGAGCTGGGATGCGAAGCAGGACTCACACAGATGGGGGATGTTTTGGAGAAGAGGGCAGAACTGTTATGGAGCCTCTGGGTGCAGCTGAGGATCCAGGGACCTAGGCAAAAAAAGCAAGGGCCACAGAAGTAGGGGGGGGGGCTAAAAAATGGGTGCTTACCCTTGGGGGCCTCTGAGACTCCAATAAAAACTATGAGCTGCCTCCCCTAACGTGCCTGAACACTCACACGCACACAACAGCATATTTCCCAGGCAGAATTTTCCTAAGAGCTCTGATGGCTGGTGGTATAACAGGCATCTCTCTCTCTTTGGGCAGACACAGAATCCACAATTGCAATGAATTCACTCCATTTCTGTCATCAGAACTAGTCATGCCCAAAAGAAGACTATCTTACTCTCTATTCTTTCTGTCCTCGAGTGGAAACAATTCAGTCCCACTCTGAGTCTGTTTCCCCACCTGTAAAAAAAGAAGGGGGGGGATGACGTCAGCAGGAGGAGCAGGTGTTGGTCAAAATCCACAGGGTCCACGCACACGGAACCTGTATCTCTGTTCTGGTTTGTCATAGCCAGCCAGCCAGACCACAGCCACACCTTGGTTCTTCTCTGCCGTTAGTGGCATCTTCCAGCCCAGCCCCACTTTCCAAGCCTTTCCCTGGTGACACCCTCTTCTCCCACAGTTCGGGGGCCTTATCGATGAGTCCCAGGCATTTGGCCTGAGCTTGAGGGAACCCGGCAAGTTCATGGAATATGCAGTCTTCGATGGCATCCTGGGCCTGGGCTACCCCAGCCTCAGCCTCGGAGGCACCCTCCCCGTCTTCGACAACCTGTGGAAACAAGGTCTCATTTCTGAGGAGCTCTTCGCCTTCTACTTGAGCAAGTAAGTCTGGGCTGGACGAGCCGTTTGTCCAAATCAGCTGTAAGATGCTTCCAGTTACATGAAAAAATTGTAGACTACTTGATCCTGAAGTTTCTTTTTTTTTTTCTTAAAGATTTTATTTATTTATTTGACAGAGAGAGACACAGCAAGAGAGGGAACACAAGCAGGGGGAGTGGGAGAGGGAAAAGCAGGCCTCCCGCAGAGCGGGGAGCCCGATGTGGGGCTCGATCCCGGGACCCTGGGACCATGACCTGAGCTGAAGGCAAATGCTTAACGACTGAGCCCCCCAGGCGCCCGATCCTGAAGTTTCTTGAGAGAGAGCCTCGTCCAGGGGTCAGCACACTATGGCCTGGGGGCCCTATCTGGCCCAGCCCCTGTTTTTGTAAATAAAGTTTTAGCTGCCATTGCTCTACAATCGCGGAACGGAGCAGACACAAGGGCTATCTTGCAGGCGGCAAAGCCTAAAATCATGATGATCCAGCCCTTTACAGGAAAACTTTGCTGACCCCTGTAGTCCAAGTCCCTCATTTGACCGACGGGGGAACCGAGGCTCAGAGGGGAGCTTTGCACAAGATTGCCCAGGCAGGTGGCTATAGACGGGCTGTAGCAGAGGCCCCTGTGAGCTGAGGCCTCTGTGATGGGAGAGAGCCGGGCTGCAGAGGCGAAGTCCCAGGCAGAGGGAAAACCCCGTGCAATGGTCTGAAGGAGCACCCCAGGCCCAGCGAGGGGGCCAGTGTGGCTGGGGCACTGGGGGAGGAGTGGGGAGGGAACGGAGCCTGGCAGGGAGGCAGGGGCAAGGTTCGCCTGGGGTTCTGCACCACGTGGGAGTGGAGGCCTCTGGCAGGGGTGAGGCAGGGAAGAGACATGATCCAATTTCCACTTTTGAAAGCTCACCCTGGTTGTGTGCTGGAGAATGATGCAGTGGAGTGGAGGCAGGGAGGCCAGGGAAGAGGCTACAGCAGACTCTTTAGGAGAGAGAGGGTGGCAGCTTGGTCCAGGGAGGTGGAGGGAAGAGGGAGAACAATGGAAGGAGTTGAGATATATGTTGGAAGAACGGGCAACAAGATTTGCCCATAGATTTGCTCTGGAAGGAAGGAGAGGGGTCAGCAGAGACATGTCCCCCCTCACTAACAGCGTGCTCCCAGGACCTGCTACATACAGTTCCTGCACTGCAGGAACAGTGCAAAATGAAAATAGGAGTCCCCTTGTTCTACAAGTATTAGGAATTTCAAGACAGGGACAGCAGAGAGGTGGGACCTTGCTGAGCATGGGGCCCCACAGCCCGCACCCCATGTGAGCCCGGACACTCGGCTTTTCTGAAAGAGGACAGGCCAGACCTCTCTGGCTGGCACGTCCCCCAACTACATGGCCGAGTGCTCTGATCGCCAAAAGGGACTGGCAGAGGGGGTGGTCAGAGCCAGCCCTGCAGCCAGACTGTCCAGATTTGAACTCAGCTTCACCATCCATTAGCCAGGCCTCAATCCCTCTGGGCCCCAACCTTCCTGTCTGTAGAATGGAAAGCAGAGGAGTGCCTACTCCATGGGGCTTTGTGACGTGTGGACAAGTGAGCCATGAGAAGCGTGTCTTTAGACAATGCTTTAGACAAAGCAAATCCCCCCTCCCGGTTATTTTCCCCTCACAATGAACACTTCCCCCCTCCCCCTCTCAGAAAGGAGGAGGAGGGCAGTGTGGTGATGTTCGGCGGTGTGGACCACTCCTACTATAGCGGAGAGCTCAACTGGGTGCCCGTGTCCAAGCCCCTCTACTGGCAGTTGTCCGTGGACAGGTAAGCCCGCCCCTCTGAAGGCGGCCCCAGGTGATGCCCGCACACGCACACACATGCGCACACACAGACACATGGACACACACAACCGCCCACAGGTTCTAATAGCCCCACACCTCCTGACAAGGTCCTGGTATCAGCAGACAAAAGCTTAAAATGTCCTTTGGAAGCTTCCATAGCCCGTGTCCTGCCCCCTGGGCTGGCTCAGGCATTGGCTAGCCCATGGCCAGGGGCCCTGGCATCTGAGCTGGGAGCTGGTTGAGAGCAGCCTGTGACTCCCTTCCTGTCATTCTGAGCACCTGCTGCCCAGGAGAACCTCCATCTTCACTGTGTGGGCCCCATAATGAGCCAGACACCAGATACAGGTCTCTCGTCCCTCCCTCACTTACTGGTTCATTCATTCATTCAACAAACATATGTTCAGCATCTGCTGTGTGCTGGACACTTGAAGGAGGAGCTGAGGATAGAAATTGCTCTTACAGAGCTCACCATCTAACAGGGCAGATGTACATGAAACAAGTCACACAAATAGTGAATTACCACTTTGATACATGCCAGAAATGAGTAAAAGTATGCCGAGGTGACCAAGAGAGGAGCCTGATTGAGTCTGGTGGTAAGACTTCCCTAAAAAAGTGACAGTGAAGCTGGAACCTGGAAGGTGAGGAGAAATTAGCCAGACAAAGGGAGTGGGGATGGTTCTAGAAGGGGCTACTGGCATATGCAAAGGCCCTGAGGCACAAGAGAGCTTGGGACATTCAGGAACTGAAGGAAGTCAAGGAAGGTCAGTAGGATCAGAACAAGGGGAAACAGCTGTCAGGCATGAGCTGAAGGGGTGCCCTGAGGTCAGCCAGGGAGGGGGTGGTAGTGAAGGGAGCCCCCAGTGTGATCCTGGTACCTGCTTTATCCCCCTGTCTCTCAGCATCTCCATGAACGAGATGGTCATTGCTTGTGATGGCGGCTGCGAGGCCATTATTGATACCGGAACCTCGTTGCTGATTGGCCCATCTGACGTTGTCTTCAACATACAGAAGATCATCAATGCCAAGCAGTCCTACAGTGGCGAGGTGACGGGTCATGCCGCAGGGGCACTCTGGGCTCTCCAGGCATAGAAGGATCGGCTGGGCCAAACTTCTCTCTCACTCTTTCTCTGACAGTATGTAATTGACTGTGACGCCGTCAGCACCCTGCCTGACATCGTCTTCACCATCAACGGCATCAACTACTCAGTGCCAGCCAGTGCCTACAGCCGGGAGGTGAGGAGCCAACCCTGGGGACCTGGTCCTCAAATCTGGGACTTGCAGGAATGCGGGGCAGAGGCCGGGAGGAGGAGGCCCCCTGGAGGCGAAGCCACACCACTGCAGATGCTGCCGGGCGGCCGCGGAGGGCCCGCCTGGGGTCGGAAAGGCAGCCAAGAGACGGGCTGAGCTCAGTCTTAGGGAGCTGATGGGGGTGAGGAGAGAAGGAAAGGCATTTTCCGCCAGAGGGAACAGCCGGAGCGTGAGTCACAGGAAAGACACAGCAGAGTGTGAGGAGAGCGGCAGACAGTTCTGGTGCCTGGATGGGCACCCCAGTTCTGCAGCTGCTCAGAGAGCCACGTGGCTCCCGGGAAAGGAGGGAGATCCAGCAGAGAAGGGCTGGCTGTTGAAGGCGGGCTGCAAGTGAGGGCTCGGGCTGACTGGTGAGTTTCTGTCTCCTCCAGGATCATCAGGGCACCTGCTACAGCAACTTCGACGAAGGCAAAGGCGGCCTGTTCCTCTCGGACTCCTGGATTCTGGGTGATGTCTTCCTGAGGTTGTATTTTACCGTCTTCAATCGAGCGAACAACACGATTGGCCTGGCTCCGGCAGTGTAAATGCTGGAGCTGCTTCAGGAAGCAACCATTCCACCCCGCCACACACACACACACACACACACACACACACACACACACACACAGTCACTCGGGGCATTCCCGCCCGGGGTCCATCCTGAACTCTGTCTGGGGCTCTGTAAAGCCTGCTCTCGGTAGAGAATAAAAGACCTCATTTTCCATGGTGCTGAAATGAACGAGCGCCTCTCTTTGGATGGGGTTGCATCAGAATCAGGCAGGACTCCCGAATCGAGTCTGGACCACCCATGAGAGGAGCCCAAGGCCAGCTGGCTTCAGTGAAGGGGGAAACTACTGGAAGGCTACTGGGGACCCAGGATGCAGGAACCAGAGCAGGTCCAGAGGGCTCGGTGACCCAAGAAATCAAAAGCCGTCAGCTCATTCTTTCTCTCCCTCCCTCTTTCCCTTCTCTCATCTTTGATCCTCTTCGCCTGGCAAGTTTCTTTCCTCAGTCTTCTACGAGGGCCGAAGGACCTGGCTGCTGCCCGCCTCAGGGCTTCCTAGCCTTAAGGGATGCAAACAGAAAGGAAGAAACCCTAGAGAGGAGCTTAGTACCAGGCAGGGCTCTGATTGGCCCAGCTCGGGTCATGTGTCCAGCCCTGGACCAACCATTGCGGCCCGGACCTGGGGTACTCTGATTGGCGCTACTTGATCACGTGGCCTCGCTGGGCGGTGGGTGTGATTGACAGTTTCCTACACAACCACTTGGCCGCGTGAGCTGAGGAGAACAGTCCCCCAAAGAAGTGGCAGAGGTGTGTTCTGGACAGATGAGCAGGTTCGTGACTGCCTCCCCAGTCACCACCACCTCCACATTCAGAGGGACGGGAAAGGATCGTAAAAATAGATTCTGTTCTTCTGACCGCAAAAGACCGGTTGGCAGTGGCCTTCTGCTGCAGAGAGTCTCTGCGTGAGGCCCTTCAAACTCGGATGGTTCCACCCTGGCCCCCTAGAGCAAAGCAGGCAAAGGACCCCGGCCACCAGCTCGCTGCCACCCGCACCTACAGTGTCCTTTCCAGTCCTGCTGCCCGAGTGACAGGCCCACGTGAATGCCTGAGCTCTCCCCACCCCTCTGAGGGCCCAGCAGGACCCTACCCTTGGCCTCTGAGACTGTCCTGGGGAGACTGACCCCCTGTAAAAGGGGACCCACAGTGCACAAAGCCTTCAGCCCCCTCTGGGGCACACAGCCATGACACCCTTTGGTGTGAGCTGCCATGGTTTGGGAAGTTTGGGATGAAGGCATCACTTCCTCCCACCCGGACACCCCAGGCGGTGGCCCACGTTGGGGCTGCAGGAGTCAGAAGGCAGAGGGTGGGGGGGCGCGGACGGAAGAAGGAGTACAAAGGTGGAAAACAACGTCCTATCCGAGGGCATCGTGCTGCCACTACTCCGGTAGGACAAACCGCAGTGACAGTGACACTTCTTCATCCTGCATCCTTTCATCTGCCACACATTCACTGAGCACCTACTATGTGCCAGGCACTGTGGTGGACCCCTGGGATAGAAGCCAAGGAGAAAGAAAGAGACAAAGGAGAACACCCACCCGTGAGGGCCGGGTGGGAAAACGACAGAGGTGTTAGCAGGAGGCCAGAGGACTGACGGGCTTTCTCTTGCGGAGCCAGGGGAAGGCTGGGAGGGGCGGGCATCGACCTCAATCTTACCAGCCCGGCCGGAGACATAGCCCCAAGCCCTGCAGTTACCATCCGTGTGAGGTCCGCTGTGTGTCCACAGTTCCGTCCCAGTCCCTTCGATGACAGAGGATTATGATCACGTGAGGGGAAGCAAAAGAGGACTAGATGCAGGGCTGATGTAGGGTGAGGCCAGAATTGGTAATGTTTTCGAACAAATAATAAAAATCAAAAACGTCATGAAGACTCAGCTGTGTACAGTTTGTAAACTCATTTTCCAAGGGGGTCTTCATGGAACCATAGGCCCCTCCTCTCTTGGTCGGAAGCCGCCCATAAGAGCAAGAACAATAGGTCCAGGGAATTGCCGGTGCTGTCTCCCCGTGACCCCCTGCGAGGCAGGAAATGTTGCCCTGGTTGTACAGATGAGGGAGGTGTCCGAGCTCCTGGCTCCAGCTCCCAGTGACAGACACATAGTAGGCCCTCAAGAAAGACACGTTAAATAAATGAATAGTGGAATTTGTTAGTGCTCCCACTGGTGCATACTGCTGCATCCATGGCGGGAGACACGTGTGGCATTAGCGTGGCTTACCGCCATCACTTCAACCATAAAAGGTCGGGCTTTGCTCCCCCTAAACAAGCCCAAGCTCAAGGCTGGAGCTGACGCCCTTTAATGAACCAAACTTTCCTCGAGGCTCTGTATGTGTAGCCTGTGCCCCCAACACGGGCATTAATTCTGATCTTCAAAGCAAAGATCCCCTCACCCCCCAGCCCTCCACTTTGATCCTTTACCAATCACATCCTGAAGGGATGTTTACAGCCTTTGGTGAGAGAGAATGTAGGGAAAAAGGAAAAAGATAGCTTTTGAACACTTCTTGTAAGAATGTACATTGGTACCAAGTTTTTAGAGTTGATTTGTCGTCAGAATAAGGTGGGGGGTGGGAAGCTAAGCGTTATTCAATGAAAGAAAAAGGCTTCCAACAGAGAGGAGACGCTGGGGTTGCGCTGGAACAAATAAATCCATTCCCATAGACCAGCCATCCGGGAACAGACTGTGACGTGCTGACACCTGGTGGCCAAAGTTGATATTGCACACGCGCTCTTCCCGGTCACGGCGGGACCTGCCTCTGGGTTCCATCTGCTTGAATGGCTATTTGGCAACATAAAACCATTGTCACATCCACTCTTCCACCTTTAGACCTGCTGATCCCTGTTCAGACTTAGACAAATATATTCCAGATATTTATACTTAGCTGAAACTTATTTACTAGCTATACATATTTTCTCAGGGAAGCTATACTAATAAAAGTTGGAAAGTGGTACGTAAAGAAATGTGCAGCTGGAATTGTGGGTCACTCCCTCCCTCACCGCCTTCAGGTGTGTACTGCAAAGGCCCCTCCTGGGGAGGGGGTGGCTTCACTGGCACCTGTCTCTACAAGGTCAACCCTCGCCGACGCTCCCCCTCCCCTTCCTTGTCTTTACTTCCCTCCACCGTCACCATGTCACACACAGTATAATGTATTTATTTCTCTTGTGATTATCTGTCACCTTCCCTGGAGTGGAATTTCGTGAGGGAGCGATTTCGGTCTATCTTGTTCCTGATAGATCCCCAGTGCCTAAGTTAGGGCCTGGGCCATGAGAGATGCTCCATAAATATTCTGGGGATGAATGTTATGTGAAACCACTGTTAAGAAAACCACATCATCGGTTCACGCTGAGCACAACTCTGCAAAAGCAAGAAGTGTGGACATTGCCAACTGTTACCAGTTTGCTGCGGCTGGCTTAACAAACACCATGGACTAGGGGGGTCGGGGGGCTTACACAATGGAAATTCATTTTCTCACAGTCCTGGAGGCTGGAAGTCTGAGGTCAAGGTGTTGGTAGGGTTGTTTCTTCCGAGGCCTCTCTGCTTGGCTGGTAGGTGGCCACCGTCTTCTGATGTCTTCACGTGGTCTTTCCTCTGGGTGTGTCTGTGTCTTAATCTCCTTTTTTTTTAAGATTTATTTATTTGAGAGAGAGAGAGAGAGCATGAGCAGGGCGAGGGGCAGAGGGAGAGAGAGAGAGAGGATCCCAAGCAGACTCCCCTCTCAGCACAGAACCTCACGTGGGGCTTGATCTCACAACCCATGAGATCATGATCTGAGCCAAAACCAAGAGTCGGACGCTACACCGATTGAGCCTACCAGGCGCTCCTCATCTCCTCTTCTTATAAGGACGCTGGTCAGATCGGATGAGGGCCACCGATATGACCTGATTTCATCTTAATCATTTCTTTAAGGACCTTGTCTCCAAATACAGTCATATTCAGAGATTCTGGGGGTTAGGACTTCAACATATGTAAACGCTGGGGGAGGGAGAAATCATTCAGCCCATTACACAGATAAACACAAAAACTGCTGGGATGTGTCAAAAGAATATAGGAGTCAGCTGAAAGGGGCTCCAGGGGCCAAGCCCAGGACAATCTAGGCATGAAAAGGAAGAATAATAATACCGGATTATAACTCACTAAATAAAACAAGAATCTATGAGTACAAACAGATAAATAAACACATAGAGTGAAAGGACAGCCAGTCCTCACCATAGACTGCCAATCGGAAAATGTCAACAAAAATTGCCATCAGTTTAATGATCGATTCAGGCACAAATCCTCAAGGGATGCTTCAACTTGCGTGAAGGTCTCATGGGGAACAGCCTGTTTGCACAGTCTCAAAGCACCTCCCCACAGAATACCTTAGTCATCCCAGCGCGAGAACTGGAATGGACAATCTGGGAAGCAGGTGCCACCTTAACCAAGTCACCAAAGTCAGCAGCACCCAGAATGGCACAGACCAGCACCTGGTGCCTCCCATGACACTCCTGCAAAAAAATAAAATAAAATAAAATAACCTGAATCAAAAAGTAAGAATACCTCAAACAAACCCAAATCCAGGTACACTCTGCAAAACCAGCCCGTATTCTTCAAAACTGTCCATGTCAAGAACAGCCAAAGGTAGGCTAAGGAGCTGTTCCAGACTGAAGGGGAGTGAAGAGACCAGGCAACCAAAAATAAGGCACAGTCCTGGATTGAATCCTGGGTCAGAAAAAAAAAAAAAATCACTGAGAAGGACAATCTGAGGATAGCTGGTGAATTTGAATACATGCTGTGTATCAGATTGTGTATAGTATCGTGTCAATGTTAAATTTCCTCAATATGACCGTTGTGTCGTGGTTATGTAAGCCGATGTCTTTGTTCTTTGGAGATACACACTAAAGATTTAGGAGTAAAGGGTCATGATGTCTGCAACCGACTCAAATTATTCAACCAAAATAATACTCCGTGTGTGTGTGTGTGTGTGTGTGTGTGTGTGTACATAGAGCAAAATGGCGAAATGTCAATAATGGGTGAACCTGAGGGAAGTATACATGGGAGCTTGTGGCAAATTTTTCTGGAAATTTGAAAGATTTTCAAAATAAAAAGTTTCAAAATTTAGAAATGGTTTCATGCTTGGTGCCAGGGGTGAGACAGACGGCAGGGGAAGGGATGGTGCCTTACCTGAGCCAGCCCCG